ATATAGAACAAGCTGGTTAGATTTGATAGGGTTCTGACTTACCAAAAAGTCTGTTTAATTCAGTCTGGTGGCTCCAATGTTCAATTCAGTCTAGTGGTTCTAATAACTTTTGTGTTTTTTGGTTGTGACCAACTGATATCTCTAATTAAATGTAGTCTAATGGAGTGATATGAATTTATGTTTGATAGTTGTAAAGTAAATACATGTGTTTTGTTAAGAAAAGCTGTTGTTTCCTTGCATTTCTTATACTTCTCTTTTAATGTATTTCAGAAAATAGATGCTTCAGAATGCAAGCAAATTGTTGTGGGCATCTCTGTGGATAATGGAAATGCGGAGTTATTCTTAGATGGTGAGGGCACATCCACTGGTGCCACTGAAGTTACTGTGCCTGCTGAACTTCTGCAGCATGCACTTGCAACAAATGACGGACACGTTGATCTGGAAGCGGCTTGTGAGGAGGGTCCTTTCAGACTTTCTGTGTCAAGAAAAGGCACAGAAATTCTAAACATTGCGAAGATTTAAAACAGAATCAATTGTACAATTTAAGGCTCCCATATTTACATGTTTAAAATAAGGTTTGATATTTGTTGCCTAGATTTACTTATATAATTTGCCTCCTTTCAAAATCATTACTTTTGTTGGCTAAAGTACACAGCTTTCAAAGTTAAGTACATATACTATATAAATGAACAATAAATTATTTTCTTTCACAATTTCCAAACACCGATTATTAATTCAGACCTCGTAGGTTTTTTCTGTATATTAACGATAAAGGTAAAGACTTGATCAAACCTATTTTCATAGCATGCACATTTTGTAGTTTTCCTATATTCCTCTATAGTTCATTGTGGTTTTCTCCTATATTTCATTTTGCTAGAATTGTGTGATAAAACTTACTGGTCTTGTTGAAAACCATCCTCCCTTAACTAAGTTAATAGTGTAAAGCTACATTTACTTCTGTTTAGGACTGAAAATAATAAAAGTATTTAATATGTTGCAATTTCTTCTAACATATTGCCAGTCTCAATCTATATGAAAAGGATGAACTATATTTAACAAAACAAATATTTGCAATATTAGAATAACCTTGCATTAAAAAAAAATCATGTAGATATGGGAGCCTTAGTGCAATTGTACATAAAATATGCAATAATTTCTAGTCCTTTTACATGTTTCATAGTATTTCTGGATTAAATAATTTTTTAAAGATATACTATGCTCATCCTTGCGTAAAATACTTTTATCAGAGAAAATTTTTGTTTTAGGTGTTGGGATACCAGAATTCACACTGTAATAATGATGTTGTTTTATTTTTTTGTACTTTCATTCGAATTTTTCTTACATATTGGCTGACAAAGTCATGATGGTTTAAGGAAATTATTGTTTTTGAATGATCAATAATGATTTACAAATATAGATGTTCACAATGATTTCAATCAGGTATGTTCAGATTTTGATAAGGGGATCAATATTTTGCCTGCCACAAATGGCTTTATATAACTTACATGAAGTGTTTTAAAATTTCTTATCCGAGTCTTGGTTTTTGCAATACCTCAAATATTCGGTATTTCTGTCTATTAACTTTACTTAGACATTTTGTTCACTCTTATATAAGCCTAATGCATCAGATTTTTAGCTCACCTGTCACAAAGTAACATGGTGAACTTCTGTTATTGCTTTTCGTCCGGCATCCGTCCGTAAACTATTACTTTAAACAACATCTATTCATAAACAACAAAGCCAATTTCATTCAGACTTCACATGAATGATCCTTTGGTGTTCAACTTACAAAATTGTCCACAGAATTCCATGCAGGACTCTGATTGCCATAGCAACCAAAAGAAAAAAACTTAAACTATCTTCTTTTGAAAAATCCAATAAGGTAAAGCTGAGATATTTGGCTTGAAACATCTTCCAAAGTCACAGTTTTAATTGTTTCATTACATGTCTAATGGTTACGTAATAAGTCTAAATATAGAACGTAATTTGTCTTAATATAGAAAGTCAACAGTGATTTTATTGCATAATAACCAAACCTTCTATGTTTAATAGGAAAAAATGTGGGTAGTGTTAGAATATGTTTTTAAAGAACTTGCTAGAACTTTCCAAATACTTGTAATTTTAGATGGAGGACTTGGGATGTCATAGTTTTGAGCAGTAGAACAAAAAAAATTAGAACAATTTCAACAAATTTATACTGTTGAAATTTATTATTTATTATTATAGGCTGTGACTCTTTGTAATTTTACATATATAAGAAGTCATATTTTGTGTTGCTTATATTTTCAACAACAACTTTTATATATAATATAACAGTGTATAAATCCTCTACAATGAAAACATTGCCCAAGAATGTTTCACGTTTAAAAAAAAACTTTCTCCCTTCATGCATTATGTAGCTTTCTTATTATGTCATAATTTGAATGACATTGTCATGATATGATATTACACGATTAGAACATAATTACAGCATAAAAGTAAAGCACTTGTATTTACAAATAAGACATGATAAAAAGCAATCTGTTTTACTGAGTTTAAGATGCAGAGGACTATAACTGAAATGGAAGCTAGAAATTAAATATGTTTATTCAGATTCTACAGTGAATTGAAGCTATTTTTAAATAATTTATCAAATAGTGTTCAAGTAACTTTCATTAAAACCACAGCAGGGTAATAAAATTTGAAGGTTAAGACTTTTCTAGTTGCAGGAAAATATTGCTACAGAGAGATTAAAAATATTTTGAATTTTCTTTGAAAATATTGACATTGTCCTAGCTCTACATATGACTGCTCTCCAGATGTTGTATTATTTAATTGACAAAAAATTTAAAGTGTTGTAAATATGTTATGTTTATTGTTTGTTTTTATTAAAACCTTAAATATAAAACACTTCTTTAGTTGTTATCTTACTCTTTTAACCTCCCCCCTTTGCTAGGCTGGTGATGAGATTATTTACAAACCTGAAATGCAAGTACTTCTTCAGTTATTATCTTTACTATTTGCTAATCCCCTTCAGCAAAGCGGGCCATGGGATTATAGATATGACCTCTGTTTGGTTAGTCGGTCCCTTACACTTCCTTGTCTGCTGGATAACTAAACCCCTGAATATTTTTGTTATTTCTGATCGAAGATCAGGAAATACCAAGCTAACATTCAATCTCTGACACAGCGGTTTCACGACAACTCTAACAAGAAGTAGTTCTTAAAACAGCTTAAAACTAGCGATTTAAAGGAAAGAGATATTTTTTTATTTTGTTACAAGTATCCAACAAATTACAACGCATTCAAAGTTTAAAAGTAGCTTTGGGTTATGGAATTGTCAATAAATGCATATCACAAATTACGCGGATGAATATGATTTTAAACAATGAAAATGCTATTATTATCGATGTCGACCAGAGCGTATTTCACAAATAAATCTGACTGTCGAGTAGTGGAATGTATACATGTCGGACTGTTTTGGCGGGAAGATTTTTGCTATATTATTTACATCAATGTTATACAACAGGTTTATCGTGAACAAAATACATCGAAATTAATAATGATTACAAACCCGAGTGTGTTAGAGGTCTGGTGTTCAAATCCCATTCAAGGCATATAAGTTTCTTTGTTAAGGAAGTAGCCACGATATGCAAGGATAAAGTGTGGCTGTCATAAAAATGAACAATGTCAAAGCTTTATTTTGGAACCATGGCTATCAACAAGCAGATATCTTCTACTGTTTTGAGGTGAATGAGCAAAATTACTAAGAGTACTTGATAAATATCTTATCTTAAGGCCTTATTCAAACTCCTTTCCGGGGTCATAACGGTGACAATCTGACCACGGGGAAAACATTGCTCCAGATGTTTACTCCTGTTTTTCGCTTATTAATATCACTATTCAACGAAGTCCATGCTTTTCGCCGGATAGAGCATTCATATTTCAGGTGTGCAATTCACCGAATAAAGAATTAAGTGATGCACTATTCCAAAGTGCTGCTATAGGTTGCGACCATGCAACGGCTGAACTGCTTCTTGAGACGTCACTAAATGATTTTCTGGTGTTTATATTTCACGCCTGGTAAATGATAGAGCTACCTCTTTCGGGGGAATAAATTAAATGCTCTATCGCTGCTTCTGAGTTAGAGCATTTTTTATATATTTTGTAAACTCTTTACCAAATATCAAAATTCGGAGAATGGTGTGCCATGTAGATATGATTAATGTTTCAAGACAAGAGCGATCAGTGATCACATGTGTCGCCTCATGATGGCCAATTTCATGTTGGGACAAGTTTTGTGACAGACTGACAGACTGACAGACAGACGGACAGTGCGCAACTAGACTTGGTACTGATCATTCCTGTAAGGTTTGGATAAATTTGCACCAGTAGTTTATGAGGAGTAGTCCGGACAGGCTTCTATGTATCTGGCAACACACAGCAGAAAAAAAACACCTTTTTATCAAAGGGACATAACTCGGCCAAAAAGCCTTAAAGAATCTAATCATGTCTGAAATAGGGACTTTTTTGAGCGAACCTAATAACATAAATCAAGAAGATGTTGATCGCATATTACCCAGAAATATTACAAAACTTGATTTAAGCAGAACGCAAATGAATTTTATCAATGTGTCCGCAGTAGTTAAAACATTGTTTACTTTACAGACTATACCCAGCAAACATTACATATAGGACCAATGTCGGCCCGATATCGGCATCCGAAGTCGGCTCGACATCGGATGTGCAACCCGGCTCAAAGTCGGGCCGATATCGAATGCCGATATCGGCTACCGACTTACAGCCGATGTTTTACCTTCATTCATAATAAGCTTTTTTATTTTTTACAGCATATTGGTATGCTTTACTTAACATATAACAGAACTATATTTATTTTGCAATACCTTTTATTACATCAGCAAAATTAAACATTCATATACATAATATTAATTTAATATATTTTATAATTTACACATACATACTTCAATGTTTAAAAACCATGTATGTTTAACTTACGATTTTTCCTTGCTAACACACATAAAAATTTAAACATTAATCTTAACATGTTTCCTATAAAGATCAGTCAAAATTAAATTGTTTTAACAAATATACTTAAGTCATGTGACTGGCAAATACAACCTTGCTATATTCATACTACTTTTTGTTTAGATAAAATAAGCTCAATGGCATGTTTCTTACTTGTTCCTTTGCTTTTTTACATCCTGTAGACTTAAAATCTGTCTAGAAAGTGTCAAGCTGTTAGCTCTGATATATTTAGTAACTGTATTTTAGTTTTTGCAATTGATTTATACTCCAGATATTACGAGTTTGAGTTAAACTTTAAAAGAATAGCTGACTTTTTTCACATTATCATGTTGAATAGTTAAACAGCATTTTGTAATTTGTACATGAGTTAAAAATGGCAGGTGTCAATTGTGGTTCCTCCAGGAGTCTCGATATATATGAACTAATTCAATTGTTTAGTTTTCTACAGTTCTTTATTTCCACCATTGATCATTTGCCAGATGAGCAGCTATTTCCTGCTATTGAATTTCAGCTCGGTGACTGTTGCCCTCTTTTTCATCCCTACATTCTGGAGCAAAAATTGAAAAGAAACCTTATAAGTATATGTGTGTGTGTATATAGATACAAGTTACAAGCTAGTGAAGCTACAAATCTTGTCTTGATCTGTATTTAACACATATATAAAAAGAATATATATTAATTAAACAGAAAACTGGTTTTTTTTAAACATTTATGTTAATAAATCAGTAAAAAAAACAATGAAACTTTACATAATAACTCTAAAAGCTCAAGCTGAATAATTATTTTTTCGTTATCATAGAATTCTTTTGTCTACTTACTCATTCTAAGTGTTGCCTAGGATTCTGTATTGCATCAATTGGTCATCTTTAGCTTCTAAAATGACATTTTCTTTCTCCAAAACCAGCTATTTCAGTTGTCAGCATTCTGATTCAGGTATGTTTGTCATGTCACAGACAGATGATTAACCTGCAATGAATCATTCGTGTTTCAAACATTATTCTATAAGAAAATATATCAACATAATAATATATTCACATTTTTATTACTTAAGGACTATGTTAAGAAAAGTGTCCTTTCAAAAGGCAAGCAAGCACTATCCATTTCTTTTAAAGTAATCAACATTTCATTATTTCAGAATAACGCTTTCATTTGACATCTCTATCATAATTATAACGTTTAATAAAAATAAAAAGAAAATTATAATTTGATGTTTATTGTCTCTCAACCGCTTAATTTCAGGCAACAATTTAAAAACAGTCGCAAAAATGTATTACAAAATAATTTTCGGCGAGATAATTATGAAATTCCCAAACCTACGTTCAAAATAGCAATGACACCGAATACTACAACAATGAATTTATTCAAAAGCATAAGTAATTTATAAATTTACCAGTAGTATTTGAGAAAAAATCCACTTTTTTTAGTTTTGGCGCAAACTTCTTCTGATGGCAGGTGGGCTAGAAAAATACCACGTTGTGCAAATCACTTATACACTAAATCGGTAACAGACATGGAGCCAATATAGCACCGAAGTATTTTTATGAAAACTACTTAATTGCTCTTTACAAAAGCATCGATTTCTTGCTGAAATGAATTTGAGAAGAATATACTAAAAACTCATTTAATTGAATAACAGGAAATAAATGTATATTGGACCTATATCGGACCGATATCATCCTGTCTTTAACAAGTTTGTATTTATCGGATATATATCGGTTCGATATCGGAAAGCCGACTTCGATATTCCGACATTTAGCCGATATCGGCCCGATATAGGTATGTTTGCTGGGTAAATGTATCGTACTCGGTTATAGCAGATATATGGTCTTCAGATGACTTGCAAAAAGACGTTCACTGGAAAGTTTTTGACGTAAGTTATCTTATCTTTCCACCAAAAATACTTCATTTTCTTCCTGGGAAATATGTTTTGAGGAACGAAACAGCTAAATTGTCACAGGCTAAAAAACAAATTAACTATCTGAAAACTATATTCACTCCATTGCTTATGAATATGAGCGGAATAGCCCCTCCGTCAACGTCATGGTAGGTATATAACTGTAGAGTTACTATTGATAAACCTTTAGGCTGGACGGTTAAAGAACTTTTTGTTAGGAATAATAATATTAAATACCTGGATGTTGATGTCTTATGCACTGTCTACAAACTAACATCTCTATTACATGTCGATTTGTCGGATAATGGATTGGAAATGGTGCATCCTACTATGTGTTTACCAAACTTGGAACATGGAAAATGTTTTAGCCAGGTTAATAGAAGGTGAAGGACAGTACGAGTTTGTTGCTTTTCTATCATACAGCAGTAATGAAAACGAATTTGTACAAGATCACGTGATTAACCAACTGAACGAGAATCTTAAACTGATCATTGGAACGGATCGTGATCTTATATGTACTGGAGATAAAAATTATCGTCCTGGCTTTACGGTTCATGATGAAACAGAACGATGCTTAAACAGAGCTTCCGTGGTCATACTTCTTTTGTCAGACAACTTTTGTCGTAGTCAATATTGCCAAAACGAGATTGATAAAGCATATTTACTGGGTAAACCCGTCGTTTCGATGCTGTTTGGAAATGTAGACGAGGAGATAATGATGCATACGTTGCACGGCTTGTACAAGAGAGACGCCCGCATTCTTCGGAAAATTGAAAATGGACAGTTGGTACTGAATACCACGTGGGAAAATATATGTATTTCGCTACTGAAAAAGGTGGCTCTTTAGTAGAGAGAGTGTAAAATTTGTACATTTATGTGAAAATGTTTAGTGTTAATTAGGAGAACACCAGTGCTACAAACTATTTATAATGAAGTATGTTAATAAGTTTTCCTCTTGTTCTAGCTGATAATTGCTGTGTGATTTTAAAGCAGCACGCCTCCAGATTCGTCCTTATTTTCATGAAAATTTTGAAAATGTATTTAGAAGTAAAATATTGTGAAATGAACAAAGAATGTAATTGACACATTGCAATCGGCACTTATAATAAACGTAAATTACAAAAAATTGGGGTCAAAATATGCAAAAATAGCACCTACTGCAAAAATAACGCAGTAGACATAAGGTGATAAATACTGCCAAAAACAGTCATTAATTGCAAAAAAATAAATAAATTATCACCGGAATCTTTATCTGTTTACTTTTCTTAAAATATAAGTACAGATTTTCCAAGTTTTATTTTTATGATCAGTTTTGGCTCATCTGGAGGCATGCAGCTTTAAGTTTGAATTGTTGCAAGATATTGTGACAGTTTTGTATATCTGTAACGTTTTGTTCTAGCTATATTCTATTTATTAAAATATACATTATTTTTTAATTTCATCTGCTTGACAGTAGTATTCACATATTTTAAAATTATTATAATATTGTTAACTGAAATTTCTTGTGCGCATGGTACATTGGCTGTTTCAAAAATATCTATTGTTTTGCTTTTGTTAACTTTTGGTATATTTTCCTTTTATTAAATAAATCTTGATTATTTTTCTTACACTTTATTTGTGATAAAGTTCTTAGTGAAATACACTGAATATTATGGAGGCTATAGGTTGAAAAAACTTAAGCCTTGTTGATCTGAGTTGAACAGTTTGCTAACGGACAAAATACAATTGTATTTCTTTGTATGTAAACTCCAATGTTGCATTCTTGGATTGAGTTTGCCGATTTAACAGTGTAAATATGTATTTAAACAAAATACATTTTGTTAGACGACAAAAACGTAACTGGTTTTCTGAGAGTAGCAATACCAAGCCGCCGACAAAACAGAAGTTACTTTCTTAGCTTTGCATTGTCAAACCATCATGATTCGAATCAATATTATCCAGCTGTACATGTTTTGCTGCTTTGGTAGTTTAGCGCGGAGGAAGGTAGTCTAGTACTGGTGTAACTCTCCAGGAACGATGGTTAGGAAACTACCCGCCTATATGACTGAAATGCTGTTGAAAAAGGCGTAAAATGAAACAAACAAACAAACAAACATGTTTTGCAATAAGAGATGAAATAAGATCCGCCCATTTGCCCGCCCACTACATCATCGTAAATAAACTTATTTATCCGCTCATTTTCGTTAATTACATGAACCGTCCTAGCTGCGGAGAAAGCAATAACACGCACTGGCGTAGATTCCGTTAACCACACATTTTAGATGTTTGCAAATCATGACAGTTATTCACCAAAAATAAGTCATTTGCATGATTGTCATTCTAGGCCTTTATTCAATCAACATTGATTATAGGCCTATAAGTTTTGAAAAGTTGTTCATACCCCAATTCCTAGAAAAAAAGAAACTAAACCTCACCAGGTAACTGTCTCAATCGAACTTTTAACAGGGTTGCTTTGAGATAGATATTTTTCAAAATTATTGTTTAGACTATATTCAACATGCTCTTTTTAAAGACAAATAAATTTTTCTGAGGGGATTCCAATTTGCATTGGAATGTGAAACTATGGAAGCCCTGGAGGGACATTTGAAATTAATATTTAAAACTTAAAACTTATTATTTAATTCTTAATATTTAAAATTTAATTCTTAATATTCAAACATTAAGAACATAATACATAAGACGCGGGTATTTGAATTCAACGGTCTCTTGCAAAAGGTTGCTACACGAAGAAAAATTGGCAAATTCGATATAGCTGCTTACAGGTAATTGTCATTTTTTATTTATATACAATAAACATTCCGAGAAATATTATATCTCGATTATTATATTTTCATGCTAACAGTTGAAACCATTAAGATATGTTACTTTTATCATGGTGCCGCTTTACATTTTATTGACTACATGGTGTCAAAAGCAGCAGTTGAGAAAGTTTACCAATACATTTTGTTCTGGTTGAAGTTTTAAAAGTGACAGCAATATACCTGCTTGGCAGGGGTTAGGTTTGTCTAACGATAATGTTTAGTTGTTGCTGGTGGATAACAATATTACATGTTTACAGCCCCAGCCCTTTGTTTTTATAACGCTATATTACATTTCTTTATATTTCTTTTAAGGTCGTAAACATGGATATCCCGTTGCTGCTTGCCGTTATCATTTTATTGAAAATGACTCCTGTATCAACAAATGTGTCATCCCTATTGCCGTCTGGAAACGGAAGCACCGGGTTAAAAGTGATTACGCAGTACTTTCATGCTGACTTCAAGTACGCACAAATTGTTTTCCCACAACATACGTCTTGGTCTCCGTCAGATAAAGAGGATACTTCGTTGTAACTATAACGGGCGTCACCGTGTCATATTTACTCCAAAAGAAGTAGGAAAAGAATTGCAGTTTAGCGGGGACGGCTTATGGTACCAAGGTGGATGAATACGTTGAAGGATTTGAGTGCTCGTGGACGAATTGATACGTCAAACCCTATTCATGCAAAATGCTTTCGATTTTATTTAGCGAATGTTCTTCAAGTGGGACTTTATCGCATTGTATTCACTAGAATTTACACAATGTGCGACCACAGAAGCATGTAGACATGTGCACTTGTATTGGAAGACCAGAAATAAAATGTTGTTAAATGTACTTTCAGGTTCTACTGAATATGGTGTTAATGCTGATTTGTAGGATATTGAATTTGAAACAAATCCAGATGATTGAACATTAGACAATAATTTATATACTTTTCAATGAATAAACATTGATGTTCATAGTTTTCAGAAGCATGTGCTTTTTATGTTTAACTGCTAGTTAAAATTTCAAGGCCGATCTCGAGTTCGCTTTACTTATTGTAAGAACAGGTCAAATGTCAAACGGAAAAAAAATAAAAGAACTTAAACACGAGACCTCTCTTGAAACATTCTGATTCTACATTGATGATTGCATGACAAATCTGACTTCGAATAAACATTGCTAGAAATCTTAGTAGACCGTATGTAGGAAATTAGAAAATAAACCAGTGAGCTTTTTGTAGGCAGTACTAAAAACTTGCCAAATGTTCTCCAGAAGGGATCAAATTTTAGCGCTTTTTAACCCCAAAAGACAATGTTTCAACTTTGACCTACATATATGACCTATGGTAAGTTTACAAGTTGTTCCAACTGAAAAAAACAACATGTAGTGTTCAAAATATTTTTCTTTGATTTGACCTATTTTTTACCCCATATGACCCAGATTCAAACTCGACCTAAAGATTATCCACACAATTATTCTCATAAACTTTTAAGTTGTTCAAGTTGAAAATACAGCATTTAAAGTGTTCTCTATGTTTTTCCTTGATTTCAACTAGTGACCTAGTTTATGACCCCAGATAACCCAGATTAAAAATTGACCTAGAAAATCAATTAGATAAACATTTTGAACAATGTTGATGAAAATGGGATACAAAATGTGACCTGTAATGTGTTCACAAGGGAAATGTTGAGAAACACACCGACAGACGACACACAGTGGGCAATGACAGAAGCTCACCTTTAAGATGAGCTAAAAAGGCATCAAGATATATCAGATTTTCTCTTTATTGAATTAAACACAGAGCTCTATTCATTTCTGAACAGTTTTCAATGCAAATTGTTATGCATCTAAAATGTTGTTTTAAAA